AAAATTCTCTACAACTCGGCAGTGAACACAAAATTTATAGTGGAGATCCTGTGAGCAAAACTGTCAGAAAAACTGAATAGAAATGGGTTAATCTTTTCTAAATGCCAAGAAGAACCAGGTGAAAACTCACATTAAGCAATTCCAGCTGTAAAGGAGCATATATATAGTACAGTAAGTGTACTGTTTAGCTTTTACATAATCCAAGGCAAGAAAAATTCTCTACAACTCGGCAGTGAACACAGAATTTATAGTGGAGATCCTGCGAGCAAACCGTGGCAGAGCCCACAAAGTCACCACATTTCAAACCATTCATAAAAATGGAAACAGAAGAATGGTTCTAAAGATATTCAGCAAAGAGAACACAGTACTTCCAATCAGGAGTAATTGACCTCTTCATATGACTCAAAGAAAAGTCACAAGTGAGAATGGTAACAAGCTATGGTGGGATTGGCTGATAACTGGATTCAGCATTATCATCCAATGTCAAACTCACTTCAGTCAATTGTGCACAGATATGAAATCCAAATGTAGGAATGGTAGACAGCCTATTTCCAAGAAGCACAGCCCATTAAGGTATGAAAACACAATGCCAGGTGGGATGCTGTGGTAAGGATTGGAGCTTTGCAGCATATTGTGAGGTAAAGTGAAGGTTCATAGGACTTAGTGTGGTCACTGCTAGTTCCAAAACTGTGGGAGAAAATCACAGACACACAATTTCACAAACACAAAATATTAATTAGATTGCAGTTGATTCTAAATTAGAAATATGTAATCCTTATAATATTTCTAGGTCAACAAATGAAAGAAATTGAATGAGGGCATGATGGATCTTCAGCATGGAACATCTATCCACTTCCCAAGAAGTAGAAGATGTTCAGTACTTTTGTACAATTGATGTGAAGCTGCTTAATGTGTGTTGTAAATGTAAATTTAAGGTTGAAGAAAAGTTTTAAGAACTTTGTCTGAGCCACCATGGGATTAACAGCACCACCCAGGTGGAACTTTGTATAAGGGTGCAATCCCCACTGGCAGCAAAAATGCACACAAATGGTTTTAGATGACAAGAACGTGAAACCATGGTCCACCCTAAAAAGTGAGTGAGGGCAGTCTGAAGCTGCCACTCAGTAAACTCCATATTCAATGACCAACAGGTAATCTGAAAGTCATCAGCGTAGAGGGTATTTGCAACTGAAGGAGGAAATTGTTCAGTGATAGCATTGATCTTAATACTGAAAAGTGTAACACTTAATCCCATGGCTACTAAGTACATTGTAAGTACCTAACATTGCTGTCATTGTATTTCTTTCCAAAAATGAAACTAGTGGATAGAATTATTTGAAATTTGACAAGAATTTCCCTAAAAGTATGTGGTTACAGAAAAATAAAATATTTAATTCTGATTTTTTTCTACTATTTCTACTAAAAATTCGTTTGCACTCAGACTCTGAATAGTTCACCTGCAAGTTGATTTTTATGTTAAGTATAAAAATACTATTTTTTATCTTACAGTTGTCACATTTCATTTGCATAATCTCTAAAACCTCCTAAATTAATATCAAAGTTTTCTTTGGTAAATATTTATATTTTCATTTTCCATATTAATAACTCCAGCTATTATCATCAACATACAGTGCAATGAAATGTTTAAAATTAAGAAATATGTACATACCTTTTAATTCTTCATTGATTAATCTTAAAATATCTTCTTTGGGTCATATATTTATTTTTGCATCTTTACCTTTTCACTTATAGTTAATTTTTAATGTTTTATTTTCCTTTCTTATTCTCTACTGTTGATTATTTATGTCAACTCATGTTAACGGGTCCTGTTTTTGTCCTTGCTTAGTAGTGTAAGTCTTGGGGAACAAAGTGAATTTTAAAATATAAGTAATACATAATTAACTAAAATAAATAAATAAAACCTAAATGCAATTTAACTCTATCAAACTAATAACTTACTTGATAGTGCTAATTTCATTAAAATACATTTATAGTAAAGTGGTTTAATTAAATTTTGAATGTAACTCAGTAACACTTTGTGACATGAACAGAAAGGAATTACAGAAGTGTGCCAGTATTCATTGGGCTGAGTTACAACCCTTAAGGACTCCAAGTTTCTATGTGAAGGATTGGAATAATGTCTAACCCACACATATTTGGACTGACCTATTACTTAAAAATATTTCAAATAATAATGGGTAAATGGTCATGTAACCCATAGGAATGAAAGTCCTATAATATGCCAAATCTACTTATAGTGTTGTAAGTCTTCTCAATATAATAAAGAAAAATCTATACAAGATGCTCCCTGTCAAGGAAAACTTCTGATTGATGTTTTAAGTTGAATAAGGTGGTCCACTGTGGAGGTCTGTCTGTGGAAACCATGCTGAGTGGTGAAAGGAGTTTGTTTGATTCCAGGAACCAAACAAGATGATCACTAACTATCTTCTCCAAACTCTTAGAAAGACAACTAGTCAAAACAATTGGTGTATAGTTAGAAGTAATCTTTGGATTCTTTCCAGGTTTAGAAAAAAGGGATGTAAATGGCCCTATAGCATGTATCTGGAAAATCGTTGTCCTGCCAAACCTGATTAAAAACAACCAGAAGATCAAAATATGGAGGAGAAAGATGGTGCAGCATTTCATAATAATATCTGGTCCAACCCATGTACTGTTGGATCGATGAAGAGCAATCATTATTTCTACAAGCATAAATGGTTGACTATAATTATAGTCACAGAGACTATCAGTTTGAAAAAATGTTAGTGATCTTTCGACTTGTAACTTGATGGCCAAGAAGGTAGGGGAAGAGGTGGAAGTGCTGGAGTGATAAGATAAGCACTCCCCACGGTGGAAAATCAGCAACATCTTGGCCATTGAAATGCAAGATCAAAAGAAAATGGGAGGTAAACATACTTCTAACGTTTTGAATCTTGTCTCAAATGATTTTTGAACTGGTGGTCAAAGAAATATCATAAGTAAAATTAATCCAAGATTCCTTCTGGCAGTATATTCTATAACCATTTTGTGCACAGATTTCATAAAATAAGTAAGAACTTTAATGTTTAAAAATTGCACAATAATTTATTGTATAAAGTTAAAAGCAAAATATACAATTAAAAACTCCACATGTTTTGGTGGAATCTGCTGGCCAGAATCTACTGAAAGGCCATGTAGTTGTAAAGAGAAGGATATCTGTGGAGGATATCCCAGACTGGTTTCTGAACCTTCTGTGCCCATTGGCAGTCAGGAGTCCACATGGATGAAAATACTTTTGCAAATGTGTTAAGGTTTTAGGGATTGTATGAACAGCTGCCTGGACAGTACAACCAGTTATTGTCTCTACACAATTATTAATAATAGAGAGGTTAATGACAACAGGATCAAGCTTCAAAAGAGTGGTGAAAGAGAGTTAGTCAGTTTGCTCTGGCTTCCACAGCAACACACAAGTTGGATGACATTGATGTGGCTGCTAACCTCCTTCACAATGATGGAAAAATGAGCACTGCCCTGTGGGTCATTGTCCACCCTCCAAGAATATCCAGGAAGAAGAGAAGGGGAACAAATTGATAAATTTATGGCAGTAAACAACTGACTAGGGACATGAAAATATGTATATGAATCAGTACTGAATGGAGAAAGGATACAATCTTAGAGCATATACTTCACAGAACAACACCTCCCATCAATTAGGGCGCCATCAAAGAGTGGATTGTATCCATTAAAGTCTCCCAAGATGAAGAAGGGAGATGACAAATGTTCAGTAGGGTCATCAAGGTCCCCTTGATCATAATCCCCTCCCTTCCTGACAACAGATAAAGAGAACAAATTGTGATGATAAAACCAATAGAGACATGGATGGCAACAGCCTTCAGTGGAGTATTGAGTGATACAGACAACGTGTGTGCTTGATGGTCAACCAGCAGTGCCACACCACTTTGAAATCATCTGTCTTTCCTGTACAAAGAAAATTGCCAAAAGGTGACAGCACTGTCTGGTCTTGGTAATGTCTTCTATAACGAGAGGCACAGAGGATGGTAAGAGTCAATCAAGGCCTTAATATCATCTAAATAAGAAGAGAAACAACAGTTTCACTGTATCAAAGTGAGCATTCAATGAATTCTGCTGTAGATGTAGACTAGTTTACCAGCCTACCCATGTAAGTTAAAAGACCTTTAACATGGTTAGAGAAAGACTGTGTGGGAGGAACAGAGACATCTGTCTGCACTCCAACCCCAACAGTGAAAGAAAGTACAGCAACATATGTTTAAGTTGGAAGAGGAGACAATAACTTCCATGCTTTGGGATAATAAATGTTTGAATGTTGTTGACAGTCTTTAACTGCTGTACCTCTTTTTCATCCACCCACTTAGGGCATAAGCAAAAGCAGGAGGTGTGGGAACCACTACAGTTAATGCAATGTGGGTCCAGTTGACACTCATAACTATTATGGCCTTTGCCACCACAATGAGCACACATTAACCCTTTGAGTGCATAATTAAATTTCAGGTAGATCAAAATCTACTATTTGTGCTTTTGTTCAGTGATGTACTCATGCTCGGTACTAATGCAAGAAATTCAATGACGTGTGAGTATCCTCATTGTCGAACTATGAGGATAAGTTTTTGCGACACCGTAGGATAAATCCACTTGTCACACCAAAAGGCTATAGATATCAAGTCAGATATCTCTAATTATAACATCCAAAGGGTTAAAGAACCATGACAAGGTATCTTAGAGTGTCAGGACTGCTGGCATTGGAAACATCTGAGAGGGTTATAAATATAGAGCCTTATCTTACAGTTCAGATAAACTACCTTCACAGTAGCTGGTGAAAGAGGTGATGTAAATGTCAAAATAAGAATATTGGTTGGCTGCATTATTCCATCTTTTCAAGCAAAGTTATGCCAGACAGCCAAAGTGTCTTTGCTGGAGAAATGAATTAGAATCTCCAATTCAGGGATGCTAAGGAAATCCCTCTTAACAGTCACTCCAGCATGGGAAATAACTTCAGTAAGTAAATCCCTGATGGACTTCAACCTCAAGAGGAGTTCACTATCTTGTGGTTGGGATGTTTCAACCAAGAATGTCCCCATATCATAACTTTTTGACTGATTTAGGAGACTTGGTGAGCCCCTCCAATCCCTTCTGAATGCAAAAGGGAGACATATACAGTACTGTGCAAAAGTGTTAGGAAAATATAATATTTTATCACTCTTTCCATTTTATGGGGCTAATTCTTTCATGCCATTATATAATATAAATTTCAACACTATGGTAATGCTTCACTGTTTCCTATTGACAATTGAATGAGGCATGGTGAAAATACTTATCATTCTTTAGAAATCCCATATATTTCTACCAAGGGCATGTCATAAGGTTTCTGCTTGAATGAACATACTGATCAAACTTAGGGTCTGAAATAACTGTCATGGTACCCCATGCAGTGTCTTAACTATATAGAAAGAAGCTAGCATATGGTACCAGTATATGCTAGAAGAAATCAATATAATAGCACTCCACAAATATACCTTGATAAAAACAGTGTTTCACAATGTATATTAAGTTTTTTTGTCATGCTATGACCCAAAAAGCCTGGAGAATTGTCAGTAGAGCAGAGATTTTGCATAAAAGCTTTACGTGATGCTGGTTGGACTCTCCAACAAATTGCTGCAGACTTGAAATGCTCCCCAAACACTGTCAAGTACACTTTTGCACAGTACTTTACGAATTTTTCTGATAATGAATGAAGAATCAGAAAGTGAGGTACAGGAATGGTTGGAGATTGTGAATATCAAACAGTCTTCCATCTGTGGTCATTTTCTAATTATTGTTTAGGAATTTTTCTGATAATGAATGAAGAATCAGAAAGTGAGGTACAGGAATGGTTGGAGATTGTGAATATCGAACAGTCTTCCATCTGTGGTCATTTTCCAATTATTGTTTAGGAATTTTTCTGATAATGAATGAAGAATCAGAAAGTGAGGTACAGGAATGGTTGGATATTGTGATTATCGAACAGTCTTTCATGTGTGGTCATTTTCCAATTATTGTTTTTATTTTGATTATTACTTTTTGGATTATTCCTGAAAAAAAGATTCAGTACGCACTGACTTCACCCACCATGGAGGACATGATACACTGTCATACTAGGACATTGCAGCCATGCCAGGGTTTCATGGGCACTGTATCAAAACACCAGCACCAGACATAAGGACCACAACACCAGTTAAGGACATCCAATACTGACACTCGGTTTACTCTAGCCACATAATATTAGCAGAATGATCTCAGGAAGGCCACTTCAGGGCCAACCATCTACAATCATTCAAGACCAAAGTGGTGTATTGCAGTGTCCCTGACACCACTCAACCACCAGGATCCTCTCCTCAATTTCAGGGGTCATCACACACACACACACAGCAAATGCATGGGTAGATATTTGGATTCCAGAGAAGGTAGACTGTTCAGACAGCACCTTTCCTGGGAGGTTCTCTCACCACATACATATCTATTTTATCATCTATGTTTTGGCTACTGATCTGCTGCCATCTTCAGGCATATCCAGAGAAGGACTGATTTTGTGGTGGTAGTTGCTTTAATTTTTTTCTGGGTCACCTTCATAGAGAGGCTGGTGTGTTTTTCAGTCATTTTTTGGGAATCTATTCCATTGGGAGTTCAATGAACAAGCTGGTGTAAATGCTTTCAAGGGAGGGTATCCAGGTTTTTCTATGCTAGGTGGACTGAGTGTGCTATCATTTAAATAGATGTTGAAAGATTCTTTTAATTTTCTTTTTCATGTTTGTGGTTCATGTCCTATTATTTTAGTATTATTATAATTTATTGGATGATCTTCTAGTCTGTCATGATGGGCTATTGCAGATAGATTGGTATTCCTGAGTCTTTTATGTTTCTTATGCTTCTGACATTTAACTTTTGTTGGTCTTCTTGTTCCTTCATTGTATTGTATAAGGAATATTGTAAGTGGCGTTTTTGCTTTTCATTGAATTCCTGCTTATTCTTAGTACTTACAATCTTTATTTTATTCTTTATCAAGTGTTCTGGGTATACATTGTAAAGGAGGGTTTTAGATTGTAGTGTATGTATTTATTCCTTCATATTAGTATATTGACAGTATAAGCATTGTTTACTTTGGATGTAAGCAGATTATGATGACTGTCTATACAATGTTGTGATGGGTTGATCTGTAGTCAACATAATTACCAGTACCTGTGTATTTCTTTTAAATATCTTGTTATAAATCAAATCTTCCCCAACAGTATAAAGCCAGTCATCATAAACTGCATAATTTCCAGATGATTTGTAAATGCTGAAGATTCTAAGATGAAGGAAGAAAAAGACATCACACAACTCTCCTTAAAAATGAATACATAGGACACATGATAAAAAAGATAAATTTCAAGAATATACAGGAAGAAAATTACAGATATACAGTCATATTTTTCTATGTCAAAGGCCTCTTTGAAAACACAGAGGATATGTAAACAGCACAAAGTCAGAACAGTTTTCAGAACCCACAATACATTATGATTACAGTAATTACAAACCAAACTACCTAAAGACCCAATAGAAAGGCAAAACACTATTTACAAAATTCATTGTGAATGTAGATTTCAATATGTTGTAGAAATAAAAAGACCAATAAAAGTTAGAATGCAGAAGCATACTAGACATACAATCTATTTGTAATAGACCATCACCATAAATATAAAGATAAAAGAAGCCTTTAAAATCCACCAAACTAAAAACACATTCAGTAAACCTAGCATTGAAGTCAGGAAAATCTGAGTATTCCTCTTTAAAACATTTAAATGAATTAGCTGATGAAGTCCTAATGGAGGAGTACTCTAGATAAGTGAATAACACACCAGTCTCTCAATGAAGAAGACCCAGAATAAAATCCTGACCACTACCACCAGTAGAACAGCATTTCTCAGAACATCTCTGAAGATGGCAGCAGGTTAGCAGATGAAGCATAGGATAAAAATTAGTTAGTAATTAGTATATAGTAATAACAACAAAAATGTAACTAATTGATGATTAGATTAGATGATCACATAGGCTGCTAACCATGACAATGATTGCAACTTAACCTTCATAACCTTATTTTCTGTGTATATTTAATAGAAAACGAGTAATCTTTGATCATCAAGATAATTTTTTTGCAACTACATACATGTGTATGTTTGTATGTATTCTTATTAAAACATTGGTGAAAAGCTTGTTTTGTACTTCATGATATGCAATTATCAAATATTTCTTACTTAAATGATTGTATATGAATATAACTTAACTCACTCTTCAAGGATGTATGTGGAACTAATTCTTTGTTCTTGATATCTTCAGTTGCTTTCAGAATGTATGACACTGACAATGACAAAAAGATATCTCGAGGTGAGCTCCTGGTTGTGCTAAATATGTTGGTGGGATCCAATACCCCTGAAGAGCAGGTTGGTAATAGCCAGTAATTGACACACTGATTATTATAGATGAGATATGATGTGTAATTGTTGAGGATAGACTTATTGTTTCAAGAGGGACATGTACTTTTTTAATGATTGTAATTATATTGGTGTAGGAGGGATAGATGTGTATTTGTTGATGGTTCGGGCATTGGTAGTTATAAAAGAAACATGTAAGTATCAGCTCATAGTAGACATAAGAGACAGATATGTACCTGCTGTGGATAGTTATATTGTTATAGAAGGGACAAATACATATTGTTCAAAAAGGAACAGATGTATATTTTGTAACTGCAGACATAAAAGGAACAGTATGCATTTGCTGCCTATATACATATTTAAGGAAAGATGGGTGCCAAATGATAGCTAATATTGTTAAAGAAAGGATGTGTAGCTCATAATAAGACTGTTTATTATAGACATGTTTCTGCTAATAGTAATTTGTTATAGCACCATGTAGCTATCTTAATAATATGCACTTAGTAATAGCAGAAAGTGTAAATGCTGATAGTGGACACATTAACAAAGAATAACAGGTATTTTACTGATGGGTAAGTTGTTGGTTGTAGGTAGGATATGTTGGTAAGAGCTGCTGGTTAAGGATACCTTTATTTTTTATTGTATTTCATATGAAGCATTAATTTGTATTTTAATATTTTTGGAATGGATGATTAATGGTTGTGGATGCATTATTAACTGAAACAAATTGATCCTTTCATGACCTCATAACAGAAATATTGTCCAATAATTGCTGGTGCATAAATTAAATCATTTTAAAACTATACCTATATGTTATACTTTTCCAAGTCGTATAGAATACTCGGTACACAGGAAAGGAATTTCAGTCTGATAAGGTAAAGTATTAAAAAGTTTAACATTTTTTATGCTTACTTTCAGCTTGCAAGTATTGCCGACAGAACCATCATTGAAGCAGACATGGATGGGGACAGAATGATCTCATTTGAAGAGTTCTGTACATCATTGGAGAGGACAGATGTGGAAGAGAAAATGAGCATTCGCTTTCCTCACTGAAGATTTTGCAATTTAATGTAGGAAAAACCCTAGATTAAAACTACAAAGCACTTAAAAAAACAATAATGGAGATAAAACTTCTAAAAATATATGTAACCAAACATTATATTATTCAAGAAGTGTGTAAGTGCTTATTTTATGTGTAATCATTGAAACTATTTTGAATCAAAATACATTATTTTATTTACTCCTTGTTTATTTGTGTTTAGAGCAAAGCCTTATTGGGCGATCTGCTGTGTCCACTGCAGGGAATTAAATTTCAAATTTTAGCACTGTAAATCTGTAAATTTACTGTTGTCCAACCAGGGGGCTATGTACTTTTAAAACTGAAAGGTAATTTAAATGTGATAATCTTAGTCATTCAATATTTTGTATGTCAAGTAATCCAGAGTAGTGAAGTGCATTCGACATTGTTGTTACTAGAAGATAGTGAAACTGAAAAATATGTAATTGGAAGCAAATTGTGGTGATAAATGTGTATAAATTAACTGAAGTGTGATTTTATTTTAGAAGTCTTATTAAAGTTTTGTACCATATTTGTTTTAGCTCACATCAATTAATTAAAAACTAAATTACAGATTAAATGAAGTGCTGAATTCCTTGGAAAGGAAATCAGTTACAAATTCTTGCTTTTTTATATTTTAATTACCGTGAACCTTACCAACGTTTTCTTAGTTTTTTTTTAATTTGGTTCTTTGCTTGGAAGACACTGTAAGGATGATACTGATATATTTTGTCAGAAAAGATTAAATTTTGTCAAACTATTCTCTTTCATTTTGCCAATATTAATTAATATTACTACACAATGGCAGTAACAAATTAAGATTTTTGTAAATAACTAATAGCTTATGTTAGTGTTGTCACAATATTTATTTCTTTACAAGATATTAAATTCTGTTATAGTTAATTCTGTGACTACTTTATTGTTTGCAGAATTCCATTACTGTTGAATGGAAATGTTTGGTAATAACAAATGTTTGTTGATGTTATCTTTTTGTATACCTTAGTAACTAATTTCTTAGTAAAGCTTGTTTGTTTTTAAGTGTATGGCTACACAATTATGTCTATGTCCAGCTGTCTATGTGCTATGTCCATCATGGGTATTGAACATTGATTTTTAGTGTTATGAGCTCTTAAGCTTACTATTGAACCACCAGGGGCTACTTGTTATTCAGTAAGTTTCCTGATGTCATTGTTAAGGTTTTATTTAAATTACTTGTCATAAGATGGAATGTATATTGTTTTATGTTGTTTATTTTTCTGCCATATGTTGAATTTCAAATAATCATATCCCTGTGCTAAATTAATAGAAAATAGAAGAGAGAGAAAACATCAAAAAATAGACAGTTTCTTTCTCTAATTAGCTAAATCTTAATGTTTGTGACTCAATATTTTAATATGGTTAAAAATTAATATGACTTAGATACTTTATAATTAAAATAAGAAAACTATTTCATCTGTTATACATTTAATATAATTAATTTGAATGGAAATTTATGAAATTTTCATGAGGGGGTGCAGGATACCACAGCTTCATAAAATGGTGAAAAATGAGAAATGCTCCTTTGGTGGAATGGAATCACTGCATTTAGGTGTTTATTATTGTAAAATATTGTGGACTTTTTATTTATTAATAACTGCATCATAGCAAAGTCCAATTCACATGCTTTTGTGATATTTTTATTAGAGCATATAATTCAATTCAACTGTATTAGTGAGATAAAAATTAGTTTTTCAGTCAGAGTTAATGAAACATTTTGAGAAAGTCTCTTTAGTGCTTTCAACTTTGTTTGTAGAAGAATTTTTTAGTTAAGCTATGAAATTTCAAATGTAAGAAGCTATAATGATTACAAAAAACAGATTACAAACACTAGCCTAAATTATTAGTATATCTTGCCAGATATCAAATATGGTTTCATATTTGAATTTATTTGTTTTTTTTTTCAGGTAAATAAAGGAGTATGAAATTCTGTATAACATTGTACACTGTATTACAAAAACTTATTGAAGTCTAATCTGAGGATCTTATGGATTTTTTTGCATATATAATTTGCTACAAGAAGCTTGTATTTTGAAATGAATTTAATGTCATCATGTATAACCTCTCTCACTAACTCTTCATTAATATTAAGGTTCAGTATATTCGACATGGATTTAATAAAACCAGTTAATGACTCCAACATTTTAAAAAATGCACAGTAATGTACTGTATAAAGTTAAAACAAAGTTAAAAGCAATATAGAACTTTAAAAACTACATGTTTTGGTGGAACATGCTCCACCATCTTCAGGAGACAAGAAAAAACACAGGAAATTTTATTTATATATTCAAGTAAAAGTATTATATTGTTTCAAGAATAGATTACTAGCCAGTAAATTTTTTTCACCTCTAGAATTTATCTCAGTAATGGTGTTAAAGACAAAATAGAAGAAAAGGTATAATGTGCAATGTATATATAATTTCTTGTAGTTCTGGTTTAGGTTATATTCAACAGACAAGTAGAAGTTTGGGATTTCAATTTAAAGAACATAAATATACCATTGATAAATTAAAAACTAGTGAATCAGCATAGGTGGAACATTAAGCAAACTCTTCACATATTACTGAGTGGGACAATGTACAAATATTTAATGAAGTAAAATCAAAAATTTAATTAAATGTAAGAGAATTATTACAAATTACTAAAAATAAAATGATTTTGAATAGAGATATCCTGGTCCACAGAAGTAAAGTTCTGGAAATGGCACCACTGTACAATATGCAAATTGAGCATGTATATTTAATTGAGTATATATATGAAATTTTCTGTGTATTTTCTTGTCTCCTGAAGATGGTGTGACATGTTCTGCTGAAACATGTAGAGTTTTTTCAGTTTTATTTTGCTTTTAATTTTATGCAATAAGTTATTGTGCATTTTAAAAATGTTGGAGTCATCAACTGGTTTTGTTAAATATTAAAGTTTGTTGCTATTGTGCACTGTTATAACTGAATACATCTTCACAGTAATACTAAATTTGATTGCTATTGTGCATCTTTGTAACTGGATACAAAAACATTAAGCCTTGTATATATTTAATGCACAAGTTTTAGTATAAAGACTAATTTATTATTTGAAAAGTAATGTTATTCATCTATCAATTTTTATCAAACTTGTATGTGAAGCCATTTTTAGATGTTTAAATTAAGTATTTTAACTTTCCTTCTAAACTTAGACTCTTTCAATTAGCGCAAACTTAAAGTGAAAATTTTTGAGAAAAATTTGAGTTGCCTGTATGATAGGTAATTTCATTAGTATTTGTTGTTTTATAATAAGCAGCAGGCAGTTTTTATATTTTAACACCAGTATTATGCATTAAAAATTTTACTTTATTATTTTTACAAGAAGTATTGACTGTGAATTAATTTTCAAAAGTAACTTAGACCTTAAAACAATAAACAAGAATTCATTTATAAAAACAGTACCTTTTGTTTCCCAGTTCAACAGTTTAAGTCAAGTTTCAAAATTTTACCCAATGTTACACAAGGGCTATTTAATCACAGATGCCCCTGTTTGTAAAATTATGGACTAGAAAAGCAAGACAACTTGTCAACAGAGCTAACATTTGATCAAATAGTGGAATTTGACTGTTACTCTTACAGTGCACCCATGGTCACACAAAGTTCAGTTTTGAAGCAGCATGTCATGAACCGTGAATTTTGAAATTCGTTGTCTAGACACACTAACTGCTAGGTTTAAGGATTACAAGATCTGATATCATAAAAGACTAATGAATATCTAGAGAGTTACAGAGGAGTTCCAAAACAGTCTTGTACAACAGTACTTTTATGTGAAAATAAACAAAAAAAAAGACATTTGAGATTATAATACAAATTTGTCTTATGTAAGAGAGAATGGTCAAAATTAATAAATTAGTTCAACATATGTTATTTGTCTTGGAGAAGCTATACTGCCCAACCTGTCTAATTTGATACTTAAATGCTTACCTAATAACAAGATTATTCTATGGGTTACTAGGATTTTTTAATCAAGATCTATAATAATTTTGATGTTAAATATTTTCCAAGGGCTATGAATATGGTTCTCGTTCATTTGAATCTTCACTGAAACATTAAAGTCATTGAGAATATATTGCAAATATGATTTTTGTAAATTTAATCATATTGTTTTATTACGTGTGTTGTGTAAAGATAGAATCAATATTTTTACTCAGATTTTTTATTACATGTGTAAGGATAAAATCAATATTTTAAACTCAGATTGTTTTATTACGTGTGTTGTGTAAGGATAAAATCAATATTTTACACTCAGATTTTTTATTACATGTGTAAGGATAAAATCAATATTTTAAACTCAGATTGTTTTATTACGTGTGTTGTGTAAGGATAAAATCAATATTTTACACTCAGATTGTTTTATTACGTGTGTTGTGTAAGGATAAAATCAATATTTTAAACTCAGATTGTTTTAGTATGTGTGTTGTGTAAGGATAAAATCAATATTTTAAACTCAGATTGTTTTATTACGTGTGTTGTGTAAGGACAAAATCAATATTTTAAACTCAGATTGTTTTAGTATATGTGTTGTGTAAGGATAAAATGAATATTTTAAATTCAGATTGTTTTATTATGTGTGTTGTGTAAGGATAAAATCAATATTTTAAACTCAGATTGTTTTATTACGTGTGTTGTGTAAGGATAAAATCAATATTTTTACTCAGATTTTTTTATTATGTGTGTTGTGTAAGGATAAAATGAATATTTTAAACTCAGATTGTTTTATTATGTGTGTTGTGTAAGGATAAAATCAATATTTTAAACTCAGATTGTTTTATTTCATGTTTTGTGTAAGAATAAAATCAATATTTTAAACTCAGATTGTTTTATTTCATGTTTTGTGTAAAGATGTAGTGACAAGTAAATGTTTTTCAGCCATTACGAAATATTTTAGATTTTATGCTATATAGTTACTGATAATGTTGAATGGTTTATGCACAATAAAGTTTGTCATTACAACCATTACAAGTGTAGATTATTTATACTTCCAGCAGCCTGTAATTGACCAAGAAGAAGAAAAAAATTGGAGAATGAGATATAAAATTAAAAAGAGACTGAGAAAAAGAGAAAGAAAGTTAAAAGAAGAACAATAAAAAATGAGAAAATTAAAAGAAGATCAAGAGGTAAGAGATGGGAATTTAAGAGGATAGTTAAAAGAAAGAGGCAAAACACTTAAATAAGAATTAAGAACAAAAATAAATGTGCTTGGAGACAAGATCCACGAAAGGATTGGGGATGTACAGAAGAATTATAACAGCAAGTTTTAAGAAGTGCACAAAGACATCAACAAATTACTAAGGACAAAATGAAAGAAATAAATGACAGATTAAAAAGTTTCGAAAATACAATTGTAAATGCAAAGATCAAACCAGTCACATCTCTTTCTGCATTTGTCCAAGGATTCCATTCCAACCTAGAACACAAATTATTACCACTACTGCTGCTGTGACATTTGTGACTGCAGGACTACACCAGCTATGTCACAAACAAATTAAGTTTCAGAATTCAACATCATCATTCAATCGAGAAACTAATGGGTTATGATGAAAAGGTACCATGGGAGGCGTATCAGGCATAGTGTGAAAAAATTTCCAGATTGAACAAATGGTACATTGAACAATAAGCTATTGGTACCCATTTAATAGTACTAGCTATAACGACATTACGCAACACTCCAGCTGAGATTCATAATAACTATCACCTATTGCTAGCTGCCTTATTCAACTGGTTCAGAGAGACACACTAGAAGAAAATATCCAAAGCAAAATTATGGAGGAATAAAGAGACCTTTGCCAAACTTGGGTAAGTTTTGGAAAGGCTTGCCTACTTATTTTACCTGGTTGCTCCATGTGAAATAATGGATTCATTGACAGGTAACCAATTTATAAATGCCATAACAGATGAGGATATGAGAATTAGACAGAAGCAAAGTTAGTGTACATCTTTAAAGAAATCTCTTCAGATGGTGATGGGAACTGAATCCATGAAAGTCATAGATAAATTAATAAAGGCCCTATCTAGAAGTTACCGGATCACCAGATTCTGTAGTATTGAAACATTAACTCTTTTGATGATAGTCTAGAGGAGCTAAAAGGATTACTTAGATAACACAGGCCTACGAATTTAAACGGATTTTCCATAATTCAGCTATGCAGATTTCGAAAATAATATTCTTTTTTTTTCTATCACATAATGAAATTTTACAAATCGGAAAGAAAAAACCCTCTTACTTAGATCAAATTATTATTTCGTTTACCACAATGAATATTTTTTATTATTATGTTTGTTAACGAAAACATAAACAAACTGAAGAAAAGAAAAGAACGTTGATGTCAAACGAATGTGCATCCTCGTTCATCCTGATTTTTTTGTGAAATCTACGTCTTTTAATGTCAAAACTACGTGTTGTGGTTTTTCTTTTATGTATTGCGTTATGACGTTTTGTGAAAAATCTATTCGTAATGGAGAAAAATGGATATCATCTTCGGACTCAGCTTACAGGAATTACTGTATAACATATAAAACTTTCAAGACAACAAAACCATTGCAGGCCTGTGTAGTTAGTATCACAGAATGAAGTAAATTAACCACAAGAAAATAGGTGTTTCTAGTGTAGCTTAAAAAAGGGCACATTATGAGGAATTGTAGATTAAATTATGTATAGAATAAAAACTTCTTTCAAAGAATGCCGAAAAAGGGAACTTATAATTACCAGTGAAACTGTAAGGTATTAACAGTTGTTATTAAGTCAAGGAGACAATACCTCGAGTACTAGTATTAGAGCTCAACAGATAAAAAACAACAATAACAAAAACTAACCATACGTTAAAAAAGTAGGAGTTAAGTGGATTTATGGAATGAAACTCAGTTGGGAATACTCCACCCATTCCAAGTGAGATAAGAAGCTCATTATTTGAGAAAAACGTCCATTGGCTTATTGATAGAAAACCTTGCAGTATGTTGATTGACTGCATGGTTTCACAGATATAATTGTTCGACCCAATTTGTTAATGAAAGATAGGAAATTGCCTTCAGAAATGAAGAAAGAAAATGGATTCACACAAACAGCAGGTAGACATCCTTATTGTAGGAAGCTTCTCTGTGTAATGTGTGAGTAATTGACATTGAGGCAGAGTGCATATATAGCCAAACACCCCATCATATCCTGAGGGATTGATGGTTGGAAAAGTTC